TCTCTGCTCTGTTTTTGTGTCTCTGGCCGGAGTCTAGAGGGGGCTGTGAGCCCATTGGGTGGCTGGTGCTGGGGGACTTTCTGAGCCCCTCAGGTGGTCGGTGTAGGGGGGCTCTGTTTGCCCCTCGAGTGGCCGGTGTCTTGAGGGGGCTCTCTGAGCCCCTTGCTACCGAGGATACGGGGCTGAGTCAGTGGGGCTCAGAAGCGCTGCCCAATGGGTAGGTGATGATCCAGCACCACCTTGTCCTGTGGGACCAAGCCCACGGGTACGCCATGGCCTGAGGGCCCGGCTCTGCCGTCACCTCACTGTGGCCTCGGACCCCGCCTCCCTTGTGCCCAGCTCTGCGGTCAGTCACCTCACTGTGACCTTGGACCCTGCCTCCCTTGAGGTGTGGCTGACGGACGTGCCTCCCTCCCGTGGAGCAGAAAGGGGCATCTAGAAGCCTTTTTGTAGAGCGGGTCCCAGCCCTGGGGAGTGGGGTCAGCCTGTCAGGAGCCAGGACGCCTCTCCACGCAGAACCTGGACACCCATCCTTCCCTCTGCCCCGCGGTCCCACCGGCGCTTCTTTGCAGCGTCCCACTCGGTGCCCAGCAGGCGTGGTAAGCGCAGGCTCCCTTGTGCTTACTCCCTCGTCTGTAGCTAATGGTTTCACATGTTCTCACCACAGCCCAGATTCTGCTGCCGGGTGTGGCTGGCTCCTGTCTCTCTCGCAACCCCTTGTCCTACAGAACCTAAGCCTCTTTCCCGTTGACAGTCCGACAGGAATGGAGGATCCAGTCAGCAGGCTAAGCATGGCCTTCCTTGTGTTTTCTGACTGACGTGCAGTGAGCAGTTTCACGTTTTCACCACCTGTGTGACCTTCTCCCCTACGGACCAGTCAGCAAGCACAAGTTAGCCCGTGTTTACCCAGCTCACCGGCTAGTCCCTCCTGCGCCTGTGTCCTTGTCTCTCGCCGGCAGCCTGGAGAGGCCACCAGCACTGGTTCTTCTCCCCTTGCCCGGCCCCGCGGTGGCTCCCCACGGGGCTGGGCCTTCAGGCGGGCCTCCCTGGCTCCCAGCTCAGGAACCTCCCTGAGCCAGGCCAGGCCCTGGGAGTGGACAGGCAAGCAGGGCTCATTGCCATACTCATGGGTCCTGGAAGTGCTGGGGGTCCTGCATATCTGGGGGGCTCTGGGTGTCCTTCAGGTCCCAGGGACCCTGGGGTCCCACGTGTCTGGGGGGCTCTGCTGTCTGTGGTGGGGGATCCCGGGCTGCTGGGGCGTGACGGCCGCTTGGCCTCCTGGCCCGTGGCCTGGCTGATGGGAGAATATGGGAGGTGCTGTTCACGCCACAGTACTGAGCATGAGCTTGAATTGTGTCTCCACGGTGGTGTGCGGCAGGAAGGGGCAGGAGGGACCGATCAATGAGCTGCTCTGGGGGCCGTCTGGGCCCCCAATTAGCCAGGCTGGCAGCTGCTGCCCTTGTCTCCCCAGACGGGCAGGCGAGATGGCGTCACTCCTGTCCCCAGGGCTGTCTGCTCTCTAACCTGCAGTGCACCCAGGCCCCTCGGGCACCGTGGCCACCTCAGCAGTGCACCCAGGCCTCTTGGCCTGGCTGGGATGGGGAGCGGGCACCAGGCTGGCCTGTTTCACCCTAGACTGCTTGCTCCTCCCTGGGTGTCTGGCCTGCGGGTGAGCCAGCATGTCCCTGGTGTCCCTCTGTCTGTCCATGCTCTCTGGGTTTGAGCCCACTAAGGCCCAGCCAGGGGAGGGTTCTGGAGCCACACAGTCCAGACTCCCAGGCGGACCCTCTCGCCAGGCCCTCTGTCCCTGCTCTGGGCTATGCTCCGGTCTGGAGTTGGCTCAGATCCTGCCCTGCCCAGGTCAGAAATGGAGGGTCCCTGGGGTGACAAGACGAGTGCTGGGCAGCTGTGGTGGCTCCTGTGTGCTGAGGGACGGCCCTGGGGCCATGGTGGGCGAGGGGCACAGCCCTCTCCTTTCTGTGTTGCCTTCTGCGTTTTCCAGCCAGAGCTCAGGGCCACTGACGGTCCTGCTTGTTGAGTTGCTATTTGGACGTTATTTGTGTCCTGGACTGGGATGAGAGCCCAGGATATAGGTCCATGTCTGTTCTGATCATCACTGCATCCCTAGACCTCAGAGAGTGGCCAACATGACATGAGTACCTGGTCAGTGATGGTCAAAAGAATAGGTAGATGGATGGGTGGATGGATGGACAAACAGATGGACATATTGCATGTACTAGAATGAGACCTGCCATGGGTAGAAGGTGTCTGCTTTATTACTTGTGCATGTCCACCTTCCCATGGACTCCGAGAACCCCTGTGTCCACCTTCCCATGGACCCCGAGAGCCCCCATGTCCACCTTCCCATGGACCCCGAGAACCCCTGTGTCCACCTTCCCATGGACCCTGAGGGCCCCCATGTCCACCTTCCCATGGACCCTGAGAGCCCCCATGTCCACCTTCCCATAGACCCCCCCAAAGCCCCATGTCCACCTTCCTGTGGACCCCCAGAACCCCTGTGAAGACTTTCCCATGGACCCTCAAGAGCCCCGTGTCCACCTTCCCGTGGACCCCCGAGAGCCCCGTGTCCACCTTCCTGTGGGCTCCCAGAGCCCCTGTGTCTACTTTCCCATGGACCCCCAAGAGCCCCTGTGTCCACCTTCCCATGGACCCCGAGAGCCCCCATGTCCACCTTCCCATGGACCCTGAGAGCCCCTGTGTCAACTTTCCCATGGACCCCCCAGAGTCCCGTGTCCACCTTCCCATGGACCCCCCCAGAGCCCCGTGTCCACCTTCCCGTGGACCCCCAGAGTCCCTGTGTCGACTTTCCCATGAACCCCCCCAGAGCCCCGTGTCCACCTTC